TGTGTATGTGTATGTTAGACCAGTTTAAGTGTTTATGTAGTATGTTAGACCAGTTTACGTGTTTATGTAGTTAATAAAGTCTTACTTGTATCACACTTGACGTGGTTCATTGTTTGCTCATAACTGGAGTCACTTAATCATGCAGATTTATGCTACAAGCTCTTTGTAGAATTGTACAGTAAGTTATTTCCCTTAACCAGGAAATTAACGTTCTTAGAATTGACAGACAGTTGACCCTGAGAGGTCAGCTAAATATCTACAGCGGATCTAAATATTTATAATTATAACTAGTTATGATTAATTATTCATATTTCCCCATGAGCTGATTCACTACACTAAACTATCGACCTCAGCTTTGAAAAAAAAACTGAGCCCAGTGCGGCAGGAACGTTAACTTGTGCTCATGAGAGAGAGTCATTCTCCACGATGATTGGTCGAGAAGATGTGAGATGAAATGATAGACATGCATAACACGTTCAAGTCTCCTCACAATCATGAAGGTGCACGTACACACAGCTAGATCAAGGAGTATAGAAGCCCTATGATTACAACGACTATCATTTGGTGCAACAAAATTCTAATTATGGTATTATTGATCGTACATTGTACAGAGGTCAAAATTATGGTACAAATACAATAATTATCATGCGTCTGGCAACACTGGCTCCATGTGACGTTTCACCTTGAGTGAGTGAACTGGAGGCAGGGAATAGTAATAATTATAAATTTAAGACTTGTATATGTAAGTTACTTCTATACATGTAAACTACAAACTATCACTGTTCATCTAAAAACAATATCGTTAGTAGGACATAAAGTGTACTTTAATCTCTGTAGCACGTTTCTGAAGTCAAATGATGTCACCTTTATCTCTATAGCGCTTCATGCAGTACAGATTGGTTCAAAGATATTAAATAATAAACATGAGCAATCTGCTTTTGACGCGATTGACCCGTGTTCGATTCTAGCTTGTCGTCAAAGTCATGCTTCTCCTTTTCCCATTACATACCAGAAATGCATTTATTTTCAATAAAAATTAAGTAAACATTTGAAGTGGAAATAAAACACCTTAGCAGTGTTGTGGAAGCTTAGCTGCAGGTAGGTTTTTGTCCCCATAAAGTAATATTCTAAGAAAATGTATAATTTACACTCAATACATGTTATTGCATTCTGTTATATAAATGTACTACAAAACTGAAATATCTGTCACCTAACTACTATTTACACACCTGTTGCAAAAGAAAATGCTATTTTAGTTTAAACAGAATTTCATTATTTGTACTTAGCGTAATTAGAACACTTTTTCCACTTAAAAAGGCACAATAGGTAATTTTCACCGCTAGAGGGTGCGCATTCAAAATAAACAAAGGCATAGTTTGATGATGCCATGACTGAGTGTGGAATCATGGGAGTTGTGGTCTTCATCCCCACAGCCGATGCAATCCGACGGGCAGAAATCATGTTCATGGATAAGCTGATGATTTATTAACGTAGTAGAATGAAGTACGGTGAGGCTGAAAGCCGTCGAAGCGAAACGAGGCACTGAACGAGCGGGACACACAGCACGAAAGCAGCAGAGCTCTTATGCCACAGTCGAGCGCTTCTGGCCGTGCGTATGTGGGTGAAATACAAAACTAAGTCATAAAGTTCGGTTATAATGCTAGTGTGCAGTCATCTCCAGTCTATTAAAACACACAGAGCATGTTCGGGGTTGCAATGTTTTCTACAAAACCAGAAATTGAGGAGTTATGACATCATTGGCAGGCTACACAATGACATGCTCTGTGTCACTAGCTAAAATTGCATCTCTCTGTATTCAAACATTCAGGATAAAGTACACAAGCCAACAAAATATATAACAGTTTTAGTACATTTTAATTAAATCGAAACTTACATATAGTGTCTTTAAATGTAACTGCCAAAAATATAGGTCAATTAAGACCGCTCAGTGTAGACTCAGTTCTGTCCAGTTATGAAATGTTGAATTGGGCATTATAGCATCGTTTACTACTATGAAGCCTTAGTAAAATGAACTGTTTGCGCAATTGTTTGTAAGGTAAAAACCTTGACAGCTATGCTGAATTAATGTGCAGTGTTTGACATGACAACAGTTAAGCATACTACTCTGAAACATTTGTTGCTTATTGTATATGGTTTCACACACCATTCTTAGAAATAAAATAAAAGCACAGTGTTCTGGGCAGTAAATCCACTTTGAACACAGCCAATGTTTACAGGTCTGTCTTTAAACGTAACGTTAATATTTCCCTACTGAGAAAAGGGAGCTTTTCCTTCTTGAAAGAGTAGGTGCAGTAGGACTACCAGTTTCCCCACATTTACAGCACTCAACCAAATGGTTATGTTACAGAGCTGACGAGACGTGAGACGTGCGGATCCATCTGCAAGGCTTTATTGTGGAGAAGACCGAGACATGGTCATGAAGCAGGCAGGGTCAAACAGGTATATGGTGGGCAAGACACAAGAACAGTCCTAGGGCTAGCGTGGGTCGACGATGGGCAGACAGAGTTAGGAGCAAGACTAAGGGAGAAATCCAGGAAACCAGGCGAAGATCAGAAACCGGGAAAACAGCTAGGCTAGGGCAAATGACTAGGGCTAAGGCTAAGGCTAAGGCTAATGACTAGGGCTAAGGCAATGACAAGGGCTCCGTAAGGTAGCTATCTCTAGGAGAGTGATAAACGCTGAAACAATACTCGGCAGAGGGAAGGGATCAGAGTGAGTGTTAAATAGTGAGGGAGTGATATGAAACAGCTGGGTGCAATCAGTGTAAACAGGTGTGTGCAATTCGTGCTGAGTGCAATCAGTGCAATGCATGATGGGAAATGTAGGCCGGGGTGATGTGCAACAGTGTGTAGTGCGAGAGTCAATGAATAGGAAAGTTCGTGGACCGGATTCGTGACAGTAACATTATGTTACATGTTTAAGTCATGCTGTTAGAGCACTTGAAGGGTCAAAAAGCAATCTTCACGCGGCTACCTACCCCCGAAAGGAGCAGCATTTCCTCCATCAGGACCACATGTTGAGTCACAGCAACCACAAGCCTGGTGGTTCCCATCAGCAGCAAACCACCTGCAACAAGAAAAATCAGACACGGCACCATCAACGTGTTCTTAAGTAGCATGAACGTACCCGTTGGAAAAGGAACAGGATTTGTGGAGAGCATCACTGGGTGCAGAAGCAAGAGTGGCCTTCACAATACACGTTATGTAGATCTGCAAGAGACACCGGTAAGAGGTCACAAAACCAAAGCAGATGGAAAGAGGTCAAATTCATTCAACATAGTACCTACAGAAGGACTGGATCCTCCCTGGAACATGAAGGTCTCCAACTGAAACCGGATCTTGTCTTCCTGGGTTCGAGGCATGAAGCCGGAGCTGGAAGCTGTAGCCTTGGCATCCACAAGGCACCTGATAAGCGACAAAGAACTCAATGTCAGCTCTATAGCATTGGGTCACTAGACT